TATTTCTTTGTCTTCTGTCAATTGTCCATACAGATATGCTGATTTTATATCTATCTGATATATTTCATAATTATTAGATACTGCCCATGCTAATATTAATTGCACTGTAGATAGTCTAGCAGTAGGAGCAAATAAATCATCTGTATGATAGTTAAGGCTGTCAATCTGATAGTTTCCTTGAACTACTAATTGTGCTTTGTATTTTTCTATACTATTGTCAGTGTATTGCTTTATTTTATAGACAAATTGTGTTCCAATAATGTTAATATTATTGTGTGGATTTGTGATTTCCCATGTATTATGATTTTCTAATTGTTTTATTTCATCTTTCATAGCTGTAATCTATGAATCACAATCTAGACATTAGATTGCTTCATTAAATGAAGTCGGATCCAATTGTATTTCACTTATTTTAGTATTAAATTCTGTTAAATGAATAGTAATATTATCTTCATCCTTTTTGCTAAGTGCATACATGTGTTTTGTTACATGTTTATTCTCCATGTGTTGTTCAAGCTTGATAGTACATTCTGTTAGTTTCTGTTTCTGTTCTGATCAATGTAGTTTAGGTTCTACTTCTTTTTCAGTTAATTTAACTTTGTCATCCATTAAGTCTGTTAGTTCTACTACTTTTCCTTTTTTATTAGTATCAGTGTTGTCTGTATCATTGTTGTCTGTTCTCATTATTCTATTGTCTGTTTCGTTATTTTTAATTATTAAACACTTGTTTGTATTGTTGTTCATATTGTCTATTTTCTCCCCTTCAATTTGAGGAGGTTTACCTTTGAGAAATTGAATATTTTGTTCAATGGTAATTTTATTATTGTGCCAAGTTTTATAGCCTTTACTTTCATTGTCTAATCCTATCCAACAAGCAATGATACCTTACTGTTGTATTTTTGTAGGATTTTCATTACAAATGATAATATATTGACTAAATTTGTATATATTATCAATTGTTCTGTAGGTTTCATAATGTTTGTAATGTGGGGTATTGTAATTTAAAGCAGTACACAGTGTTCTATTATGAATATAGATAATATGAATTGCTGCTTCAGCCCATAATGTAAATAGTAATTTAGTAGATGTTAGATATGCTCTTACACCTCTAAATATAGTTTTATGAGTTTGTTCTACTATTCTGTTCTGTTGTAGAGTATGATGTACTGTTAATCTTTGTTTTGTTCCTTATGAATCTAAATATTGTTGGAAATCTTCACTAAGGAATACAGTATTGTTATTACTTTGTAAAAGCTTTATTTTAACTCTGTACTGTGTAAATATTTTGATTGTCCATTGTATGTATTGTGTATATGTATCAGATTTTGTTTGTAATTTGAGCATTATGCACTAACAAGTAGAATTGTCTACAATTGTTAATAAGTAATGTATGTTCTTATATGTGTGCAGTTCAATAGGACCAATAATATTGATATGAATAAGATCTCCAAATTGATTTGTAAGAGGAGATTGATGTAGTTTTAGTATTAGTGTATGTTTGATATTTGCTTTTATACATTCAATACATTCTTTTTCTTCATAGTTTGTTATTTTAGTTGATAGTACACTTGGTTGTGTCTTTAATAATTGTTTAATATAATTGTAACTTATATGTCTGAGGCATTTATGTATATCATAAATAGATAGTTTGTTCATTGTTTTTAACAAATGATTATTGTACAAAATATACAAGTTATTTCTCAATTGTATATGTCTAATGTATTCATTACATAGTGATGTTATAGTACAATTATCATTTGTAAACATAAAAGAATAACCTTCCCTACATAGTAGTGCTTGACTTATGAGGGAAAAGTTTATTTGTAGATAGTAATAAATGTTTTGTAATGTTATAACACTTCTTTCTTGTATATTCTTTGGGATTTTGATACACATAGATCCAGCTCAATTAAGAGTCATCATTGATCTATTTGCAATAGTTACAATTGTAGGAGTTATGTTGTGTACATCTGTTAATTGAAATAGATAAGGAGTAGCATGTATTAATGTACTAGAATTGAGTAAATCTATTGTTTGCATATAGGATTTCTTGTTAGCTATGATTGTATTTGTAAATACGTTGGTACATACCTAGGAAGTGTATTGTTCGAATTGTTTGTCCTGGTTGCTTGGAATAAGAGTGTAGGCATTATTGTTCATTTCAATGTTGTCTTCCTTTAATTCAACATTGTTTTTGTTTGGGTTTTCAATAATAAATGTGTTTGTTGTGTTTTCTACAGTTTGATTTGTTTTATACACAATGTTAGCTTGATGTTTAGTACATGTAAGCTTTGTAGCTTCAGTAGGAGGTTTACAGCATTCCTTAGAGAAATGTCCTGTTTTTCCACAATTGAAACATTTCACTTTTGTCAGATTGAACAGATTTGGCAGATTGAATTTCCTCCACTTATTGGCTTTATACATTGTATTAGTGTGTACATTATTCTTCGTCCAATCATTAGAATCTTGTACTTGTTTAGCACAGTAATTGTTGTAAGCATTCTACAATGTAAGGATTAGTTACTTCAGTTTAACTTTCTTATGTTCATCAACTGGTTTGCCTTTGTTTTGGGCATCAGTAGATTGTATTATTGTATTTACTATATGTGTATATTACTCAGGAGTGGCAAGCAATATTGCTACTTTGTATGTAGAGTTGTGTGGTGGATCACTGTTAGCAGACAGAGTTATATATGCTTCCTCAAGTCTGTCTAATGTACATCCAAAATGTTTTACATAGTCTCTACAAATAAACAGTACAGATTCATCAATGGCCTTTTTACATACTGTCTAGGGGTTAAAGTGTTCTTCAAGTGCTTTCATTAACTGAGGGATAGATGTATCAAAGTGTATATAGTTTGCTAATATTGTGTCAGCAACATCACGAAAAAGTCGCAACAAATGTAATTAATAATAGCAAATGTAATGTAATGATGTACTTATATATTAATTACAATTCAAAATTATAATTATACTTTGCTTGTAATTGAAATGTAACAACTGTATATAAATGTAATACTTATACAAGAATTGTATTATACTACAATTGTTTTTTGAAGCAAGTAATGTTACTACCAGTATTACTACAATATTATATGTGAGACACAAGTACTTAACTTTTATTATAATATGTTAAAATTGTATATAAATTAATATACAACAGTAGTTGATTGGTTATAATATTTATAAAAGTAATGTATTATGCTTGTAAGTTGATTATAGTACTTTTGGTAAGATAATATGCAATTATATATATTAATATTGTTAACAATCAGTCTGTTAGACTTATAATATAATCTGGTTTTGCTTTTAAACTTTATATCGAAGTGCTTACATAATCGAATACCGAAGATCGAGAGCATATAATAGCTGTGCTCAATTCTTGTTTTTGATGCTCTGTATTTTGTTTCCCGGCACGTCACCGGGAGTCGGAAGAGAGTAGAAACCGGTAAATACAGGGAGAGAAATACAGCTAAGAAATGAGCACCTTAAGTAGCGCAGATCCATCATTCCATCGGACAATCAAAAGTGTAAATAGAGTAAGCAGACCTAATATAGAGATTTTGAAGAAAAATGCACATTTCTGCTCTATTTTCTTGTGTCTCACTGTCGACATGGAGCCTACAGACCAATATTTTATATGTTAACTACATACCTGAGATGAGACTTAAACCACCTAGTAGAATAATGGTGTAACAGTTTATACATGTAATCATCAGATTTGACAGCTGTATATGGGCCTCTTGGCCCACTTCGTGGTCGAAGTTGATATGCAATTAAAATGAAAATAAGGCCTTCCCAAGCCTCTTCATCAGTTTCAGCATCTAACAGGACAAGTAGACCAAATATTTTCAGAATATGCTGTAACTTGGCTAGATGGTGGTAGCAGAGCATGTTTTCATGTGTGTCTCAATTATTCTAACAATTATCTATACCTACACTCATGTCTTAGATCTATGTAAGGCTGCCGGACCAGCCGTTCTCTTAGTTTCATTCTCCGACGTGCAAAATACACGAAATACACCTCCTCGAAGTGTGTCTGCTGTTTCTAAGGCACGCACGGAGATCCTACTCAAAATGGAAGTAGACCCTAGATCTACCCTCCCTAACATTCCTTCTGCCGAGGTAAATATTCGTCAGATACAAGAATTGAGCAGGGCTAATGACGCACTTACACTCGTCACTCCTTTTCCTCCTACCTCCACCATCTCCCCCAACCCTCTTTCCCCAACACTATGCGTCGCTTTTGTTCTCTCCAGCCCAGTCTCCTGCCTACAAGCATCCTCCAGCAGGCACACTGCCTGCAACCACCTAGACAATAAACATCACTGCATTCATCTCTCTAATCTGCCACTGCGATGCTTGTGCTGAGCCTCAGATCCTGTGACGACACGACCCAGCTGGCTTCGCCGTCCTTCAGCGTAAAGCGTAAGCAGCTAGTCCACCTCATAATAACTCGCACAATAGTTGCTCACCCTCTCCTCCCAACTTTTTGTCTTCCTTCCATCCCTTCCACTCCTCACTTTGCCTCTTGCGTTGCCTCTCCTTCGTTGCCCTCCTTTTATTACGTTCACCTTCCTTTTTGCATTCGCATTCGCGCATCTGCATTGTTGACCAGTGTCGAACGACTTTTTCAGTAATTCCATGCATTCGTGTACTCCTTCCCGCTCAGCAACGCAAGCAACAATCGGTGAGTACGCGCTTGCGACAATGTCCATGTCTGACCACTCCTCAGGCGCAATCCTCTCTCCGGCCCCCCGCGCACTCTCCTACCCCACCCACCATCCTATGTTTGACATCACCCTTGATGGACCTACGCCGTGTGCATTTATATTCCCCAGTACCGTGCATGACACCATTTCGAACGGAAGCAGTGACCCTCCACTCCCCTCTCAGCCGAGTCTGTCCGCCTTCCACTTTACCTTCGCCTTTCGAGCCGGAACGTCCTAGAGATACACCTTGCAATTGACAACTCAGTTTACTGCACCTCCTTTCAGACACTGTAGATAAACTATAGAGCGCACGCACACAGACACAGTTTCGTCTGCAGTCTGAATCAACTCGTTCAACACTCCGGATCTCAACCTGCATGCGCTACTCACACTCGCTGCACACCATCGCCGTGCGTCCATCTTTTCTTTCTTATTGTCACTCGCTAAATCACTCCAAGTCTGTTTCACAGGCACAGCCTCAACCTCCAAAACCTGCTCGACCTTGCAATTCAACTTGCAGGGACTGAGCGACGACTAAGGCATGGTGATGAAGACTACTTTGTACAGCCCAAGAACGCGTTAATCCTTTACCGACGCGAATTCTGCTTGCAGAAGAACAGGGCAGAGGCTGCTAGTGATGCGGGGATTGGGACCGTAGAAATAATATAATATTCACTATCTTTTTGTATTAAATAATTAAATATAATTACATTTTATTAATTATTCAATACAAAACTGTATACAAAACAAAAGCAAGCTATCCAAATGCTTGTAATGATTTGTATATATTGTAAGACCATACTATACTGTCAAAAAATAATAAGTATATTTTAACATTATTATTTTGGGAGGTATGTTATAATCACTTATATATCTTGACAATATGTACAATTATAATTAATATCAGTAATTTCAATAATTGTTCTAGATTCTCATTATACTTGTATTAAATTATAATTAACTTGTGAAAACCCCTATGAAGAATATAATTGCTTTAACAAAATTTACAAAAAGTATAAAATATACCTGGTTATAATCTAATACAAGTGTTGTGACTTTTTTGTGATGAATGTTATTAACTATGCATGCATGAATAGCCTTAGCCATCTCCCTCTCAGCTTTGTTCTGTGGTTCATCCTTTAGTAAGTGTTTAAAGCATGTAGCTGTAACACTAGAAACAATACAGTAGTACCACATCTTGTAGTTCACTTTGGTCTTAAGCATTGTGATGTTTTGACCAAAGTATTTAAGTACATTAGCTGGTTTACAGTGTGTATCCATATGTGAGGGAACCATGATGCAAATGTGTGCAAATGTATGTGAGTAAAGAGTTTAGAGTGTACAGTGGATGTGTGTATGCAGGGAGCTCAAGGCTCATAACCTGTTGAGAGGGAAAACTTAAGGGGGGCATGCATAGACAAGGGGTGAGTGTGAGGGATTACCATATATAGTGGACCATACATAGAACCTCTTCACCAAAAGGGTGCAATGTCAAGCTTGGCTTGACACCTGGTCCACACTATATATACTGATAAATGTTTGTGTCCTAACAGTGAGGTGATGATTGACTGCTCAGTGTCTCTCGTCCTTATATTGTATGTATTCTAACTGAGACATTATGAAGTCATTGTCTCATGGTTTGTCTGTTGATGAACTAATCATCTCATAATAGAACTTCTAACAGATCTTTCTAACACAAAGATGAGGAAGATGGGGGGAAGGGGGCATTTACAGCCACAGCAACTGTTAAAAAAGCACAGTTTTTACACTCTCTGCCTCATCTTCTTACTTCCCAGCTAGAGTTGAGCTCCATTTTGCAGTTTGTTTTTTGTTCACAATTACGTTTGGCATTCTGTTACTGACTGGTCTCCCATGGCAGCAATCATGTTTCATCACACTCTTGCCATTGTTACCCTGTGTCTTTTGACATTCCTTACGAGTGCCTCTCCGTTTCTACCTCGGACGCCAGTGGGTTCATGTCACAGATCAGATATTCTTGGACAAACTAATCTTGCTTTTTCAAATCTACTTAGTACATTGCCATCGAAACGCGTGAAAATTCTCTAAAAGCCAGGCGCCAGTTTGTTGCAGGTGGGGAATTTGTCAGTGGTCGAGTTTCGTCCGCCACTATCTGCGGACTTGGTGAAACACGTGTATGCTAGCCTCTACACTGTATGCATTGTTGTGAATTACATTGGTTGTTGTTATGAATGGAGTAGGTTCTTCGGTTAAATACATCGTATCGACTGGTTGTGCGAAAAACTTGAACGGTTGTGCTGTGAAGGAAACGTGAAGACAGGCAAGTTGCGAGATGCTCCTCAAATGAGATTTTTGACACGCATATTGCCCATTCAAGGCATGTGTACTACAGCAATACAATTCAGAAATTCTGCACCAAGCTGATAAATATGAAAAATGAGCGATGAATATTATGTAGTGGTACGTTCTCTAAATCCCGGACAATACAACACGATTTACGGAGTGAACAAAGGAAAGAAGAGGAATAAACGGAATCATCTTGAACAAGACAATACAGATCGCTCTACTTTCTTCAGAAGTCCTTTCAGGGTGTTCGAACTTCTGTTACAGTTGCTCGAAAGCCACGTTTCCATCTCCTCCCTCGTCTCAGTCAGCTCGGGAACCAAAGGAAGCGACCGATCGGGTCTCGCAAGCGTCGGGTTTAGCAAAAGATCGAACAAGCGAGTCCATATTTCCGTTTGCCAATATCGTTTAAACTGGGTTGCGAGTTTGTATCGTCTCGTTTCCGATTTACTGTCGTCATCAGAATCGGGTACGACAGTCCCGTTGTCGAAGTATTTTCCGAACAGCATACAGTAGACGATTCCTGCGAGACCGAAATAGTCGGTCTCGTACGTCCACGATCGATTCTCTCGCATCGCGGGACAATCGCGTACGTCTGTCTCCCAATCCGCTATAAACTGTTGTCCGGCTGGATACATCCTCGTATCGATCGTACGTCCAAAGTCAATCATCTTTATACCCTTATACTTCCAACCACCCTCTCCTGTCGACTGGTACATCCCCGACCACGCGTTCGTGCCACCAGGTACGTCTTCGAGACGCAGAAGACAATTATCGATCTTGAGATCCCCGTGAATGAATCCGATACTGTGCATGCTCTCGACGAACTTGATTAATTCGATCGTGAAGAACATGACGAGTAGTTCGTCGAGACATGCACCTTGGTGTAAGATGCCTGCCTCACCTGCGCGGTTCACTACGTCTAAGAGAGTTCCTTGGGTACATAGATCCAGGATGAGGAAACTTTCGTCCTGGTAGGCAAATAAAGCGTGTGGAGTGATGACGGATTGCCTGCAATGAGCCGGTAGAACACTGTGTATGCGACGAAGGATGTGGTATTCCCATATGTTTCGTGGCTTGACAACTTTCAAGGCAAAGCGGCTAACATCCTCGTCATCGGAGTCCTCGTCATCGGAATCCATATCATCACCGTCTTCGTCTTCAATGCTTCGGATAACTTTCGCCCTGAACACTGCACCAAAGCCACCTTCACCGAGCTTATCCAAGACTTTGAATGCTCGATCGGGTAGCTGTATTCGGAAAAAATCCGCGCTATCGGACGTTCGAGATGACGACGACCGACTGCTTCCACGACGACCCTGCTTCGACGCGAATTTCTGCAAGCTGTCGAATTGACCTGATACTTCTGTTCTTAAATCGTGGAACTCGGGCTCTTGCGGAATGAGTGAGATTAATGTGTTTAGAATATGTGGATCGGATGGATTGCAAGGATTCGGCGGCTTGAATGACGATGCGACAGCTATCGCATCTGCAAGCGACAAGGTTCCGGTCCGCTCGACGAGTTCGTCTTCTTCCGTTTCTACGTCGACTTCGGAGCTTTCATCGTCTTCAATGTTGACGACATCTTCCATGTCAACATCTGCCTCTCTTGCCCTTGCTCTCTCCTCTTCTTCTCTGAGCTCTTGGGCCAGCCTCTCGGCAGCTAAGGCAGCGTCTTTGCCGTGGTTCGGAAGACCTCTATCTAGGACTGAGCCATTCGCATCACCAGGCGTCCCGAGCATCGTTCGCGACGTTACAGTGCATTCAAAAGTCCGTTCAGCGATAGGTGTCATAACGTCGACATGGCCAAGCCTTCCACCCATGGGCATCGACTGGTAATCCTCCTCGTCGTAGTATCCAACTTCCTCGTCCTCCTGTAGAACCTCACTTGCGGGAGAATCAGACTCGAAATCTTCGCCATAGTCCTCGATTTCTTCGACGATCTCTTCCTCGAGCTCGGGTTCAGGTTCTAGTTCAGCTTCGGGCTCGTGTTCGGGCTCGTATTCGGATTCTGGCTCTGGCTCTGGTTCGACGGGTTGCAATGGAGTACGACGAGGTGTAAATGCCTGTACTTGTCGGTCACGAGAAACAGGCGTAAACGCGAATCGCTGGGGAGCAGAAGTACTCCGTTGGAAAGCAGACCCATTTGGTCCATTTTCCTGGGAATTTCCTGGTGTACTAAAGGCTTGAGGTTGTGAGAGTGGCCGAGCTTCTGCTGGACGACTAAATACTTTTGAACCAAGCACACCATGTGTCTGTCCATTACTCTGCTGAGAGTCGCGGAAAACGGACGGCCGCTCTTGTAGTACCTTTGGTTGAAGTGCTGGTCTGGTCTTCTCAGTTTGGTTGACAGGCGTGAACACCCTACCGAATGCGTTACGGGGTTGCAGTTCTTCAGTGTCGCGCTCGTCAACGCTATCCTCATCCTCAGACTGCTCCCTCAGCTTATTGACTGGCGTCTGTACAGGAATTTCCTTGACGGCAAGACCCTTGCGCGGTTTAGGCGTGACATGAGGAGTCTTGTTATTGAGGTTCTCGTCCACGAACGGTTTAAACTAGGGAAGCATATTATTACAAGTCTGAGAAGTTTTTGTGCTAATCTTACCTTTGCAGGTGCAGGAGCTGCATTCTCCTTCTTGTTCTCGTTATCAACAAAGGGCCGGAAAGCTACGCGTTGGTCAGTTTTCGTCATATTATGATAGAAAAACAGATACACTTACGAGCATTTCTTTGTTCGTTCTCATTTCCCACCTCCGTTATCTTCTTCAAGGCATTTCGGGATTGAGCCGCAGCTTGAGCATCAAGCTTAGTGACTGGCGCGTGCTTGCTCCCAGCAAGGTTTGTCGTTTTCATCGTCCGATCCGGCGAGTTATACATTCCAAACACATCTTTCAGAGCCTCTTTCGTGTTGAGTGTCACTGTCGGTCCGTCAGCTAGTTGCGCTGTCATGTTTGTGTTCACGCGCAGATGATTCGTTTTAGTTGCCGGTCGACTACCACCTTCGTCTTTCAAACTGACGGTAGCTTGCTTAGTAGAAGCAGGTTTAGGAGGACCTAGCTCCGATGCAGGTGGCGCGCCCCATTTCTTCCCGAGTAGACCAAGAGAAGCAGCTCGCGCTTCTTGAATGGAGAATTCTTGGCCGTCGCAAAACAGTAAAGACATGTCAAAGCGGTACTTCTCCACCTTCTTTCCAGGTGCAGTCGGGGCATTCATTGCAGCTGTCATGTATGCGTAAGGGTCCGACTTCCTATTTTCTACTGATTCAACTTTGTTCGGCGATGGCGTCGGATTTTCAGGAGCGGCGGCGGCGGCAACGTCTGGCCCGGAATTGGAAGTGCGAGCACGCTTGCTAGATATATTCCTTAAGGGGTTCCGATACAGCTTAGCACCCAAAGAGGAGCCCTATGTTATATGTCTATAAGTAGCGTTCTGCACGCAGGAGAAACGACACCAACCGACCTCGCCAGGAGGGACGTATGGTGGCTTTCGGGTCGCCTTTAATGTGCTCTTTGTTTCAACGCGCTGCTTGAACTCCCAGTAACGAGTTTTCAACCTGTCCGCACCACGTTTGCTTCGTGAAATACCAAGACGATATGCTTCCTCGGCTTCTCGAAACCTGGATTATCCGTGTCCTCTGAGTATCTAGCTAGCCTATTACAAAAGAATACAGCGTACGCACCTATCCTGACTCTCTAAAGACATAGAATAGTCTTCGTACAGCTGAGCATTTCTTACGCCAATCTCATTCTTGAGCAAGAACACGTAGATAATATCTGGTTTCTCGACATGACGCGCGTAAGCAAGCCACAGCTTCGCATAGCGCACATCATTCTTGTAATCAGGGTCGTCCTTACGAGGGCGTACTGCTTCTTCCAACACAGTAAGAAGTTCGAGATCGAATGGTCCCTGCGGAGAAACGCGTGCCTGTTCGGTGAGCCAATTGACATATCGTTCATAAGGCGCAAGCGCGTCGTCGTCATCTGCTGCAATCTGTGCGCGAAATTGCTCCCTCTCTTTCTTGAGTAGTTCTGCTTGTGACCTTGATGACGAGGGATCCATGCTCATGTGTCGGCTGGCAGCGGCAGAAACAGACGTTAAGGTCAAGTTGAATGAAACGAAGAAACAGCGCGTTGAACTGCATCGACCACGTGACCGCAACACGAACCGGACCGCCCGACCGCTAAAGGCAATCATGCCGATAAGCAGCCGATTGCCCGAAATGACAGTCAATCAACAATTGGTCAGCTATAAAAACACAGCCTATCGATAGATGGAGACAAGCACCATACCCTTGGCCCTCTTGAAACTTTCATTCATCCTTGGACACATTGCAATCCAGCCCTTAAGCACTGAAAGCCCAACAGGCTTCAAGCATCCTGAACTAGATCAGTCTACTGCTCAATATTGTACAGAGAGGTTCAAAGGGTATGCAACGAAACCGATCGATTGTGACCCCCTTCAGGACGAAGTTTGAGAGCTGTTGCTTGGTACAACTGATGGAACAAATGAAAGTCCTATCCAGTTGGATCAAGCCAGCCTTCTGCTTACATTCTGAGGGAGATTTCAATGGTCTTAATTTGTTGAATGACCTTACAACATCTACTTGCACACAACATACCTGATGGGGGGGGGGGGTTCAGATAAGTTAGAGTGAGCTGCCTTGGAGCTTCTCCCCAAAGACAAGTGTATTTGTTCGATCTCTGAGCTTCAGGAGTAGGTCTGTACAAGCCATGATCTACACAATCTCTTATTGTGAGACATGTTGGAGTACAGTGATGATTTTCCCCAAGGGAAATTATATGAGTTCATTTTTCTTATTGTGATTAGTTGGATCCGATGTGAATTGATACCTCGTTCAACCTTGTCGACTGTGATATCATCCGGGCTAACATTCAGTAACATTCAGGATGCCAAATTATTATTATTCTTTCTTTCTTTCTTTCTTTCTTTCTTTCTTTCTTTTTTTTTTGCAGATCTACCTGCCCATTATACTACCGGGGAACATTGTTCTGGTGTGCATGATGAAGACACTTCGTCTCTCATCAGCTGTGTAGTTTAGTGGGTCTTCGAATGGATGAGGGTAGTTTCGACTGAATGACTGCTTAATTCCGTGCATACAGGTGCGTGAAATGTGTTACTGTTTACTCTATATCATATACTAATGTTATTGTCTTTAACATCTGGAATGAGACGACGTGAATTTGAGTATGCATGCATACAATCGTGCTCAAATATCCAAGCCCATTAGAAGGTATTAATGTGATAATTCCGTATACCATACCGTACCATTCATACATATAGCCTATTTAATAAATGAAACGCAGTCTTAATAGTCATCCAGTGCCCAAGGATACAATGTACAATAGAAGCGCCGCCAATTCATCATGCCTTAACCTCCGTCCAGTCCAGGAACGCGTCCTCCCCGGCCTTCTCTTTGATAAGTCCCTGAGCAAGCGTCCACAAATTATCCGCAAGCATATCGTTCTGCGCTTGCTTCGTCTCACCACCAACGGTTCCTGGATCAGTAACATACGCTCCATGCAATCCCTTCTGTTCGACCTCAGGATCCGTAGCAGCCCAGAGCGTACTCAAGCTTCCCTGGTCGGGAGAGCGCATAAACGGTACCGCAACCGCTTTCATTGCACCTCCAACTGTCTCGCCATATGCATCTTTGAGTTGATTTTGTTGTTCAGTGTGCACGGCTCCGGGGTGTGTGGCGAGTGCGTATATACGTGAGCCGTCTTCGAGAACGTGAGCGACGAGCCAGCGGGTGAAGAGGATGTTGGCGAGTTTGCTGCGGGCGTAAAGGGTGTTGGGGCCTAGAGAGGAGTCGTTGATTTCTTCGAGGGACTCGAATGCTACGGATGAAGGTGCGGTTTTGTGCAAGGAGGAAGAGAGCTGTACGATGCGTGGTGCGGGGGATTCGTTGAGTTGAGCGGATTTGCGGATTAAGGGTAGGAGTCGATTTATGAGGAGGATATGTCCGAGATTGTTGACCTTTAATTTGATATTTCAGTGTTAAATCTTTGAAAAGCTGAAGGATACTTTACGCTAAAGTGATGTTCTATGCCATCGGAGGACAATTCATATTTATTGACGCCAATCCCAGCGTCGGCAACGAGCTACAGTGCCACTCTAAGTCAGGCAAATCGACGTTGCATATAGAGAGGAGGAACTCACGATGTCCAAGCGAGCTTCCTTTGCGCTGATCCTATCCGCAACCTCGCAGACGTTTTTGAGGTTACCGAGGTCAATTTCAACAAATTCAATGTCGGCTCCTCCAGAAGTCTCTTTTTGAATTGCCTCAACGGCTGCAGTACCATTTTCCACTTTGCGTGACAAGAGGAGCACGCGGGCTTTAGAGACGGCTAGTGTCTTGGCAACCTCGAAGCCAATTCCTTGTGTGCCACCCGTTACCAGCGCAGTCTGTGGAAGAAATGTTTTCAAGACAGCACCCGGTGAGATGCGAAGAAATCGCTCGTACCCTGCCGGACAGATTCGGCACGTCATTTTGATCATATGTATGTTTTCCTTTGAGAGTATCGATTGCAGATTGCATTCTAGTAGAAGTTTGCCTGAGAGTTGAGTAAAGTTGAGATTTTGACGAGTACGGCAAAGAAATACCAGCCACTGAGGTGATGACGACATTTGGAGAGTAATACGTCAGGCGGAAATCGAATCCAAACGGAGACAAACTTTGCGCATAAGTTGCAGACAGTCTAAGTATAATAGTATTCTTGTATAGTGTGGATACTTGGGAGCAGAGCATGTCCAGTGCCTTTGATAAATGTATACACTTACAGGCATTCAGTTGCTTCGAAGTTCGCGGCCTGGACGTGGACAACCGAAACGTGGGTGGCAACACACGCCCTTGATCGACAAAGTCAACATGACATGAAACAATTTTAGTCGTCTGTATGCGCACGACGATCCCGAATCGTTCGCTGTGTCCTGTGGGCGAAGGTTAATTCTTGAGCATTTATTGTAGCTTTTCTGTTGAGTCGAATAATGCAGTAGTGGGCCTAGCGAAAATTGGAAAAATACATTTTGGGATGGAGCGCCGGAATATTACCCAAACAGGTGCCGAATGCGGATAGCAACTCAAAGTGGGAGTTAGCAACAGCGAGCTCAGCGCTACATTGACCACCACAACTTCGTCCGTCGTCTGCCCTGCTGAGGCCTCTTTTCTGCCACGTCTTCCTCTTCCTTCTGATCGTCGTCGTCGCCTTCGTTTTCTTCGTCCACTTTGTACACCTCGGCCCCAGCAGTGCTGGCTAGTTTAGTTCTCTTGACGCCAACTTTGCCATCACACACACACCCTCTGCGCAACTTCAGACTGCACAGCACTCGCAGCCATCCATCCGACTCTCTTCCAGCCACAAGGCCACTCCTCTCCCATCCCTTTTCACCACCGCGAAGAGCATATCTTCATCATGTCGACCTACTACGACCAACCCACCTCGCCAGGCACCATGTCCACCAGGCGGCTTACCAACAGGAACACCAACCGCTACAGCGTCACCCACCTGTTCAGCATGGCTGCTGAACAGGATATAGAGCTGCAGGATGAGTTGGCAAAGGGTGAGTGGACTTGCATTTTCGCTGCTATCTTGCGTGGCGCTTGTTTGTCGTGAAATCGCTCACCGTATTTACTTGGTCGTATGCAGCACAAAAGCGCCTGCGTGATCTCAAAGCACGCATCTCTGCGCAGTCCAAGAGGAATTTCGTGCTCGAGCGCGATGTACGTTACCTGGATTCACGCATCGCGTTGTTGATTCAGAACAGAATGGCGTTGGATGAGGTACGCCGTATGCGTCTTATCACCAAAACATGTCTATAACAGGAAAATCTAGCAAAACGAAGTGGAACGCCACTTGGAAGAAGTCGACCCCACGGAAGGCCAATATCCGGATGATCGTAAATTACAACAATATTCCAACCTTTTCTTCCTCCTCCAGTCCGAGCCTCGTCACATCGCCGCGCTATGTCGTCTCGTTTCGCTCTCCGAAATCGACACATTGTTGCAGACGGTCATGTTTACGCTATACGGGAATCAATACGAAAGCCGCGAAGAGCATCTGCTGTTGACGATGTTCCAATCCGTGCTAAGTGCCCAGTTCGAGACTGCCACCGAATTTGGCTCCTTGCTCCGTGCTAATACGCCCGTGAGCCGCATGATGACGACCTACACCCGGCGTGGTCCCGGTCAGAGTTACCTGAAAAGTGTGCTCGCCGAGCGCATTAACAGTCTTATTGAGCACAAAGACCTAAACCTCGAGATTAATCCACTCAAGGTCTACGAGCAGATGATCAACCAGATCGAGGAGGAAACTGGCAGTCTTCCCGAGAACCTCCCGCGGGGTGTGGCACCAGAGGCAGCGGCGGCTAACCCTGATGTACAAGCCATCATCGCTCCGCGCCTCACGATGCTCATGGAGATTGCGAACAGCTTCTTGCTGACGATCATTGACAGTTTGGAAAGCGTCCCATACGGTATTCGCTGGATATGCAAACAAATCAGGAGTTTGACGAGGGTATCATTGTTACCTGCTGCGCATCTTTCTAAAATTACTAACGCCATTAATAGCGAAAATATCCTGAAGCTACGGATTATGCGATTTGTTCTCTGATCGGCGGATTCTTTTTCTTGCGATTCATCAACCCCGCGATTGTGACTCCTCAAGCATACATGCTTGTGGAGGGTGTACCAGCGAAGCATCCGAGGCGAACATTAACCCTAGTTCGTATGCTTTTCTTGTGTAAAGATGTCTTGTCAATAATGCTTTCCCCTCTAGATTGCCAAAATGCTCCAGAACCTCGCGAATAAGCCATCGTATGCGAAGGAAGCATACATGAGCCAGCTAAATCCCTTTGTAGAGAACAACAAAGCGCGCATCAACCAGTTTTTGAACAACTTATGCGAGGTTGGGGATTTCTATGATACACTTGAGGTGATTAATTCCCTGTATGACCATGTACCGTTCTTAGACTAATCGTCGGCTCCACAGATGGACCAATACATGGCGCTGTCAAAGAAGGATCTCATGATCCATATTACCCTCAATGAGCTTTACAATACTCATTCTTTACTTCTCCAGCACATTGACACCTTGGTGGGTTCTCATCATAACAGGTTCCGATGGCAAGATCGTGCTAACCCTTATTCGTAGTCGCCAAATGACAAGCAGCATCTTCGCATCTTAACAGACGAGCTCGGAGCTGCTCCGTCACAGGTTCCTCGTAAGGAAAATCGGACAATTGAGCTCCAGCTCTACAGTCGTTGGGAGACGCCGATCCAAGACATTCAGAGTGCCCTTCTTGACAGTGTCTCGTCAAGTGACATGCTTTACATGGAAGCGAAGTCTATCTTTGTCCAGCTTATCCGTTCAATGCCGCAATACGCCGATAAGCGGCCATATAATCTCGCAGCCATTGCTGAGCGTGCAGCGACTTCTAAGGATGCCGTGCTTGTCCGGCGTGGTATCAAAGTAAAGGAGATGTTACGAGAACTTGAAGAGCTTCACATTCTAGAACGCGCGGATGGTTATAAGCTGATGGAAGAGGAGGTCGCCGCGGAACTCGTGCACCTTGGAAACATGCGCGAGAAGGTTATGTTGGAGATGCGATCGCTTGAAGCCGTGTACAAGACCATTTGCGATCATAACAATTACATGCGTGCCCAACTTGAACAATACAAGGCGTACCTCCAGAATGTCCGGCTCACCGCTACGAAGGATAAAGGTTCCTCAACCGGTGTCGGTGTCGTCACCGTCGGCGGAAAGGAGAAGAAGCCTACGAAGGTAGCCATTCTAGGCCCCTACCGTTTCACGCATGCACAGTTGGAGAAAGAGGGTATCATCGTGGAAAGTAATGTTCCCGACAACAGGTTTGTTTTAGCGTTACGTCTGAATTAAGGTTACGGTGCTGAGTAGTTATTCGCCCCGCAGACGGCCGAACATCTATTTCAACATTACATCCCCGACACCAGGAACCTTTATCATCGCCCTCCATTACAAGGGTCGTGATAAAGCTATTTTGGAGATGGACCTGAAGATAGATGACCTGCTTGAGAAGGTACGCTCTTATTCATTCGCGGATCAACTTTCTCTTTTATTGACTACTGTGCCTATTCAATTGTTGCTCGTGATTACAGCAAAAAGACAACAAGCACCTACTGGACCTTGAATATGTGCAATTGAATGTGCCGAAGGTTCTAGGCTTGTTGAAGAAAGTGTTTGCGAAGCGATGAGCAAGACACGACCACCTTTACGCCGTCCCCTTTATTTATGCTTCCTTCTATCGAGCGTACGATTTTTCCCGGTTCCTTCGGTTAATATTGCCTTTTTCCGCTGTCAATAAAGATATCCCTATGATACTGCGCATCGGTCTTCTTTGTGCTTCTGGATCTGGTTCCCTTCCTCCTCCGTTCCTTCTTCTTTCTCCGTTATTCAGTTTATCCCGCATGAATTGCACAGAATGCATCTACGAAACATGAATACGACGCGTGCGCGACCCGCTCTGATGATGTGATCTGTGGATTGTATTCTCTATTCTCTTTAAACCGCTTTATTGTGGCTTCCCGCTTTCCTGCCCTATACCATTTATTATTCTCTTTGACTTTTCCTGTTCTTGGCAGAGACGGCGATGTAACTTGGTGATCCTGTTTGATTTTAACTTTTCTGTTTAGATTTATATGCGGTACTGGTTGTACGAAGTTTTTCGTGTATTCTTGGAACGCTTGATATATTCAGATTCTTTTCTGTGGGTTATGGTGTCTGTGCGGAAAAACTCGGGTGGCAGTGAGATTCTGAGAGTGGCTCGTTTGATACGTTGATTCGGCGCTTAAGTGGGGATTTATGTAAGTGTCTGTGTGTCTAGGATCGACTGAGCAACTTTCCTTTGCCCGTTAATTTAATAATCATCGCATGGAAGATTTGCAAGGGTCGTTTTTTGCAAAGATCTGGGCACTTGGCTAATAGCTGGGCGTCGATACTCCCGCGTAGCAACTAATTGCCCATTAATATTATTGAGAGGACAGTGCGGCCCCGGAAAGAAATTAGCGGGATGTTGCGAGGTTGTGAGGAGAGGTGTATTGCTAATTATTTCGAAGTAGATACTTTATCAGTAATAATATCAATAATATCAACAATATCATAATCATCATAATATGCGGGGATCTGAGAGAGAGATTTGGGACGTCAGATCGAGAGTGGGTACGCTAAGGTAAATTCGGAGTTAAAGGGTTAATCACCTAGGAGTTTACAACTAGTGTAACGTAGTTGATCTGACAGATCGACCGATGTGCGATCTATCTATCGTGTGTGTGGGTGGGGGGGGGGGTGGGGGGGGGGTTCGCTGGATGGGGGATGAGGTGACTTTTTTTGTTTATCCCGATGCTTACGGTAAATACGGTATAGGTTCTATAGTAGTATAGACGCCACTATTACAATAGCAGTGGTAGTGGTGTTATCTTTCTCGGTGTGTGGTGTTCGTGATATGTCAGCCTGAGGCTTTTCCTGAGTCATGGCACTTTCGTTGGTTACAGCTTACGAGCGTGGCACGTCTGTGCATTGATCTCGTCTCGTCTTGTTTCGCCTTTCATTTCATTTCCGAATTTCCAATGCTCGTCTTACCTTACCGAGGGCCCTCTTTCTCCCTCCGTACCGATTGATCCGTATAACAAATAGTAATCTCAGAAGGTGCGAGGGTTTGGTAAGACGCTTTGGCATCGACCCCAAGACTCCTTTAGAAGTCATCATGTCATGTGTATGCATGTGATGCAACAATGTAAACAACCAAGGAAAGGAACATAACACGCGCACGCCAGTTCGCCGCTCTCAGCAAAAAGAGTAACATCGCTATCAATACTAATAACTTCTTGAAATCTTACTTACTTGTACTAGTACTAGGAGCACAGCAGCATCTCACTTCATTCAAGTTCATTGCATTGAGTGACTAGCGCATGTGCATGCAGTAGGACTTTAATTTAGACGCCCAGGCACAACGTAAACAGATTGTGAAGAACTGTACTGCACTGCGCTCTATGGCAGTCGTTTGATTCTTTGAATGCGTAATCGAGTGAGAAGGTTTATTTTAGATGGATGGCTCGGCGCGAATCACGAATCGGATTGTGCGGTAATGTTTTAGCCTAGCTGCTAAGTGCGAGAGGAGCTCCTGTTTTCTTAACAGAAGTCGAAGCACCCCCAGGAAGAAAGAAGAAGCAAGAAGCAAGTGTGTTCCTTCTTTGGTTTGAGTAAGAATCCCATCTCTCCTAAGTATACTCGTATGTGCGAAGTGATCGTGTTTCTTCTTCTGGATCTTAGGAGCGGCATGCGGTGCGACGTGCAATATGGTGATGTGGTGTAGCTACTAATATTACTACGGATGAAACGTTTCACCTTCTTCGCAAATAGTGAGCTTCTTCCTGAATCTTGAATGGGATGGGACTCCGACCGACTCTTCCGATCAAACTCGAGGACCGGAAAGAGATTGCGGAGATGAAATGCGGTCGGAGGTTGAAGCGGGGTTCCCTCCTCCTCTCTCCTCTCTCACCTTCACCATACTTCTTCCGGCCATCCTTGTGTTCTTTTAATTATTATGTTTTCGTAATGGTGTACGGGCCAAGATGGTGGAGACATAACCTTCGATTACGCTATCACTATTCCGAATTTTCAAAACCCGAAACACCCAGGTTCTGTATCCATATATCCGTTTCAATTAATTCAGTTATACAGTCACTCTGAGATTTCTTTCCTCGTTTCGCGCAAGGCCCGCGAGTGCCCGAAACACATGGATGGGAAATATTACAAAGATAAATAGATAACAGATGTCAAAGTCATGTTCTTATGCTGTATTTTCTCCGGACCCGTAGGCACCGTCCCGTGTCCGGTTACCCGTTCTCCGAATTTCCTGAATCTCCGCCTCAGGGCTCCAGAGCTTCGCTTTGATTAGTGACGCACAAGACACCCGCGAGTTTGCGGTCTAGAATACTTGTCCGAGTCGGCCACGCGTTGTACAACTTAACGGCAAATTTTAAGGGTCGACGAGAATTGAAAGGTATGAATTGGATGTAGACTGGCGTACGCCATTATTATTCGGCAACTCACATCCAAGTTGGCCAACACCCAGAGACACAAGTGATTCAACGGGTTCTTCCGCTTCTGGTTGGTACCATATTGTTTGGCTCACTAGTACTCTTCGTCCACGCAGCTCGCACTCGGTCTGACGTAGTAGTGTGAACACGTATTTCTGGGCCTTATCTCGCCGTACCTTCTAAAGACTGCTACCGCAACTCTATTCTAATTTCTATCGGCCCTAGACCCTGAGAAGGAGGTCCTACGTCGACATGATTTGATCGGACTCGCGGATCGGACCGTCTTTCAACACTCACTTCATTTATTTAACTTTCCTTACTTTACCTTATACATTTCAGCTTGGCAACGCACATTCTGTGTGCCGTGTTGTGTCAGACCACTTTCTCATTCGTACCAATACAATTACAAGCGACACAATACAAACTGAATAGCGTAAGTAACTAGTACTAATGTGCACTGAACGCGTGGCCACTCGAGATTACCCGCGGAAGCAAAAACAAGACTGAAGGCTGACGAATACATACATGCATGCACACCCAGCACGCTAGATGCGTCGGTAATTGCTGATTGTGGCATCCTTTTCTACTGGTTCGTCCTTCGTCCGTCCCTGCCCATACACATGCCAGTGGTTCCTGTGCTCGGGAATGTGGGATGCTGGAATGTTCTCCCGATTTACGCTTCTCCGTAGTCAGCGTCTTCGCCTTCGAGGCTTCCTCCCTCGGAACCAACTGTACACGCATACATACAGTACATTGCACTAGCGGACCTGAATTTGTAATTTTTTTGACGGGACGTACGTGTGTATCTAATTCATCAACGGTATCGCCTTCATCAAAGAAGAGTCGAGCATTGCCGAAACACCAAGGACCAGAAATTAGGCCAGAGACCCGCATCCCACCGTGTGCTCAGATCCAGCTCCAGATCCCTAAAACAAGAAAGGTTTGCTAATATATTATGTACTACAACAGTATTAGTGCTCCTCCTCGGTGTCGTACAAGTGTGTATGTATAATAAGCAGCGTTGTGGTTCTAGCGTGAGTCCTGTCTTTGGTGTGTCGTGTATATCAAGAAATCTAATGATTATCCACTCGTGTTGTTGCATAGTCCTGGATAGAGCCTTTCAGTCGGATCTTGCGGGATCCAACCTCCCTCAAGACCCTTCTGATAGCTCCATTCGTCAGCACTCTCAGTCTAGAAAGCGAATGAATAATACATGTGAGTAATTGTGCGATCAGTACTCCGAAGAAATAAACAGCGTGTCTATGGTGCTTATGACAAGAACCGAAAGAAAGGGTTTGTACTGCGGAACGTACCTTCCAAGTCCAATATATCCATCCCGAGACAGATTCTCCAATGTCCACTTGAACTTCCCAATATCTGTAAATCAGTATAGGTTAGATGACTCTATCGTTGTGAGAAAACACGTGTACACAAGCAAGGACGCACTTGCGGAGATACGACTTGAAGTCACTAGAGAAGTTCGCAGAGTTACCTGTTAAGCCAGCACACGAGCCCAGCGTGGGTGTGCCTGAACCTGGGTAGGTACCGTCCCACCGAGAGCCGATTCCCCTGCCGTTTAGCCACTGTGCGCAGTCTGTACTTGCCGTTGACCATTCTCCGACGATAGTCCACAAGTCATTTTGGTCATAGTCCGCAAGACCTGGGATAAGTGAACACGCGAACTGAACGACCATGCATGTGAACAAGGTTGGCGGATAAAGTCCAATGTGAGTTTACAATCCACCCGAGGAAATTGTGGATAACATTACGTCTATATGTTCGTCATTTGACCTCTGCAGCTCTTCGACACTGAATATTTGGTATTCATGCTTTAAAAAGTAGGGTGCTTATACTGAGATATTTCCAGCTCAAAATGAAATCAGGGGGTACACTCACGATATCCATCATGACCCCCTGAGACGAGGGATATGTCAAGAAGTTCTCCCAGTTCTGCACCGTGAGGAAGGCATCTCCTATCATGATTTTCATGCCGGACCCTGCTGCCTGACGAACGGCATTGTACCCATCTTGCCAAAATTGCCGGATCGTCGTTGCCCATTCGCTGCTAATAAACCCAGCAGCTTCATTGAGAAGCTCAAGAACATCTATCATCCCACCAGCTTTTTCCGCAATGAAAGAAAGAATTTCTATTGTTCGGTTTACGTTTCCATCGCCGGTTGCCCAAACAGGGTTGTTCGTGCGCTGTCCAGAGTTGTCATAACCATTCTACGAAGCAATTGACCATCCTGTTAATTCTTACAGGCGCCAGTAATGAATTGCAGACGCTTTACCTGTGAACCGGGCGCTCCGTGTAGATCCACAATTACGTTCAGAGAATTGCTTTTTGCCCAGTTAAGCGCTCGAAGGAAATAAGGCCATGCACCTGCTATATAGGGCGAGACCGACTCGTTATCGTCCATCGGAACGGACCAATACCCAAGAGGTATTCTGTGGCGAAAAGGTGTTTCGAGTTAGCTGTCTACTTTAGTGCCCGAAATGAAGAAAGTATGAATTTGACTGTTATACATGGGTCTACTGACCGAACATGATTGAGACCAGCTGCTCTGATTGCTTTGAAGTCATCCTCAGTTATCCAGGTGTTCCAATGCTGCTGAAGAACCTGCTGGGCATAACTTGAGTTCAGGTGCTGCCCGAAGGTGAATTCGTCAATTATGTCATCGTTCCCCGTGTTCTCGAATATACTAGGGGTTATCCATGGCTGTAACAAATGTTGCGAAAAAATAAAATCAAACACAGCAGTCAGGCACGTTTTTCCCCACACAAGCAAGTTCAACAAATTCCAAACCAGCGTCTAACCTCAAGAACGAACCATCCTCCTCTGTTTATAGCTAGCTTCAGCACGAATCAAGCGGGTAAACGGGATAAAGAAGAAGAGCTAATGCTCTTCATGTTTGATACTCACAAGTTTACTCCTCGGATCTTGTCCGTGCCATATGCAAATGGTGTGATAGCGGGGTTTGTAGTGGTGCCATTGGAGCTTGTCCCGTTATTGGTACCATTTGAGCCAGGAGACGGAAACGGGTCATTCGGCGAGGCAAACTCAGCCTGATCTTGAGGAGCTTGTAGTCTACATTGTTGCCGAGCATCAACAACAGCCAAGAAAGGAGAGCCAGTAAGATTGAATAGATAGAGCAATATCAGGAGCCTGAGAAGAGGAGGGACCTCCATGATGGGCGTTTGAAGGAGAAGCGCATTAGCAGAGCAGGAGTGGCTTCGAAGAGGGCTGTCTGTTGTGCGCGGCAGCAACGTGCAACGTGGTCTGTATTAATGGAGTCAATTCGGCGAAATACAGTCACGGCATCAAAAGCATGCCTGAACAAAGAATCAGAGTGCCAAGTTTGCAAATCAGAAATCGGCTAATGCGTTGCTTACTAAGCATCACATTAGCGGAACCAACGGAAACCATAACTCCTCGCAGTGAGCAACAAAGCAAGGTATAAGTATGTATAGGCACACACAAAATTATGCTTAGGTTCCTGGACATCCGACAACAAAGAGATGCGCTCAGGATTAGCATTTGATTTCGTTGCCGATCATGCCCACCTCGACGACATCAACGGCAATGATAGAAACCACTGTGATTCTCCCTCGCATATACCAGAGTAGTATCCCCTATGGAACCCGAAATGCTGTTCCGTTCAGGTTTGTCATCCTCAATCATCATCATTAGATACAGATAATCAACTCATAAACTACAATACATTAGCATGTGAAGAGAGCAATCTGATATAACCGAACAATATCCGCAAATTCGAAAAGAGCAACAGAAACCCAAGTTCATACTCGTGACAATGGTATCATGTATGCATGACGTACATAAGCAGCGCGGGGAGCATGCGATTGCACCCTTCTGCGCTTTGAGGAAGAAGAGGAACAAACAAAAGAAAGTACCGTGATTATGAGATCAGCACGGCACGCAATCCACACGGATGCAGTCGAAGTAAAGTGACACGGGAGACACGGACAAAGGCACCTTATCGTTCAGCCCGAAGGTCCTACCTCTGGCCGGCCTGCATCGTATGGTTTTCCACCGCCATCGGCCATGACGTCTGATTGCTGACAGGGTACATGTGCTGCCACCACCGGCTTCCATCTTCTACTTCTCCTGGTGGTGGCGTACTTTTCGTAAACTGCGGCTCGTTCACCGTTTGCATGAAGTTGATCAGTGAAAAGTCGACAGGGTAGCCGCTCAATTCATCTGGGAACGTCCGATTGACGCCGTGAAGGTCTGCTTGGAATGACTCGTGCCCCAGTCCGGTGTCCACGGAAAGCCTATTGTTTTGGAACATCGTCTCGGATACCGGTCCCGCCCATGTGGACGAACCAGGGACGGCGACAGAATCCGACCGATGAGCGAAGCTCTGAGAGGCGCTATTCCCATGTCCAGTCGAGACCCGCCGGTTCTGACGATTGTGACGCGGTAAAAGAGCGGAGAATATCTTAAGTTGCTTCGTCAGGTAGCGAGCGTAATGGAACGGGGCATGGCGTCCGTGATCGTCTTCCGAGACCTCCTTGGACCGCAAGCAATCAACGAGTCCATGAACAAGGCGGTCGATATCCTCGATATCGCCCGGTCGTAAAAGAACAGACATTTCTGGCCTGAGAAGCTGATGGTCGCGAAAAAGATCAAATAAATATCAGCGATGTACCTTAATAGTATGATACGGGAGAACTTACAGAAAGCAGATGCGCCGCAGCAAAAGTGACGAAAAGCAAATGTGCCTATATTGAAGAGTAAGCCTCCATATTAGGTCAGATGAAACATGGTAACGTACATCCAAGGTGTACCGGAGCATTCCGGTCGGGAACAACTTGTATATCATACAACTGATCACTTCTTTGGCAGTTTCAATGCACTAGTTTAAATGACACCGAGTCAGACGTCGTCCAATAGTCAAATAGAAAATTTTACCTGTCGAACAAGGAAGTCATCCCTAGATGCACCCGCTCCCTTTTCATGTTTCTGAGCCGAAACAACCCGTTGTAGCCCGTAGCCCAGCACCATAAGGCGATTGAATGCGTTTGTCCTTATGGAGGGCAAATCATTAGTCATTTTACTGTTGCATGGGGAGCGGGAATAGCATCGCGACGTACATTTGGCATGTGTGTGCTCGATATTCGCACATGTAGTCTATGGCAGGTACTTTTTAGAAGATTCATATTGCCCTTCTGAAAGAATAGACCTACCATCGCTTCCTGGGTGCACCTCAAATCGGTTGCTCCATTCGTTTCGAAGCTTCATGAGCTCACTGTGGTATGTATCAACGATTTTGAGTACATCCGGTACCCTTGATTGTTTCGACGGGTGCTCTTTTTCCTCAGTTTCAAGGGCCTCCACATCAATCCTAAAGTGACGTATTACCCGACACACCTCGACATGGGCAACGAGGTGCACGTCAATCGAGAGACTATATGGGGAGAGATACCACTCTCTGCAAGTCCGTGCAATATAATCTTCGACTTCAAGCATGGCGGGCTTGCCAAACTGGGCAGCGTGACTTGCATCAACGCAATAGCAGTTAAGCCATGTGCGAATGCGGTTCATGCGTTTCCGAAGAGCAAGCTCGCGTTCCCACCCCATCGAATCTTTCGTGTCCATGTCTTCGAAGCCGTCATCGGCGGGGGGCTCATTCAGTTTCAGCTCCACAGCAAGCGTAAATGCCAAGCCCATCGTTAACCATGTTCGTTGATCCTCAAACCGCTTCCGAGGTAATTGATAGGCCGACTGGATAAGGAAAGCTTGACATTCGTCAATTGTCTTCCTTCCATCCACAAGAGTCTTGCCAGCTAGGTCACGAGCGAACTCAACGAATACTGGACACATCGGGGCATATTTCGCCGAGTACTTCGTCGAAACACAGCATACTAGGGACAAGCATTGAGTAACGTCTTCCGTAGGTAGGCATAATAATGAACCGGCCTCACTTAAGGTAAAGAGGAAGTGCGAATGCCAAAAAAGTCTTTCTGGCGTGTGAAGTACGGGATCGAGGAGTGAGAAGTAGGGCTATTGGTCGATTGTTAGTAGTTCTTCCGATTACCGATGCATCATATCTAGGGACATACATTGATGAACTTGAAATAACTTTTTGCCAATTCGAATGAGATCGAGTTGTATAGCGGAGCATGAGCACTCACATAGCGAAAAGATCGTGGACGTCATGGGGATGAATAACCCCCCGCGCCACTATCTCTGGCGGCTTGGTGTAAGGAGAAACAGTATCTGATACAGATCAGTCCATTTGAAGAGATCTGAGTTTAAAGAGCTAACTCACTATCTGGGAAATAGCCCAGTAGTTCTTGTACGGTGTATTTCTCGACAGGCGACATCGGGAAGTGGCTTGATGGCAACGGGAAGTAGTTGACACTCATCTTCATGTCAGGACTACAAGGTGACTCTGACTCAGCGTACCCGTAGTGAGATGACCAGCTCGTCTGGTCCCTACCAAGGCTCGAAGAGCCAGAGCTTGTTGGCGAGTGCTGAGATCCAGGAGAACGACCTGAGTGTCCGGTCTTGCTGGACGCTTTATTGATCCATGACTTGATGCGGTAGTCCGTGGTGAGCTCGTCGAATTGGTGCAATAGGTTTGCAATCTCGATGTCTTGCTTATGTGACTTGAGGAGAAGTTCCTCATGTGTACTGGGCAACGCAAGATACTCGCATTAGTATATTTAATAAATGTATGGATTGTGCACCTACGCTACTGCGCGCCGTTTCTTGCGACCAATCACGACGCATTGAAGCTTGTTGACGATACACCGTTGGCAGGATTGTTGTCCAGCTCCAAAATGACATTTGACTTTGAGGCCTTTGCAGTGTGTACATGCACCACTATACAAAGGTTAGAGAATACGAACAAACCATTAACTTACAACTGACCGTTTGGACTGCTGGGAAGCTGTGTTGGATGATCTGCGAGAGCCTCGTGGGCGTTCATCTTCGCTGGATTCGCTCTCGGTTTCAGACTCAACGCGCTTTGACTTGGGCGGTTGGTAGTAACGGAACGACATGGACGTAGAGGCAGAGGCAGGTGTATTGGATGAGCGTGCCGACAAAGTATACGTATTGGCGCTGGGCACAACCACAGCCGGGCGGTTACGGCATTGAGGCACCATCTCTAGTCGAGGTTTCTGATCGAGATTAATGGAAGCTGACTGGTTGTCTTGATTGATCCTGTTGAGCGCAGCAGATACCTACAGCGGGCGTCAGTACATGCATAGCTTCAGCTGATATACACAGAACCTACTTTGCAGATGTGATCAGGAAATAGGGGGGTGAGGTTGTTTAGGCTACAAAACCATTCCGTGAGGAAATGACGAAATCTTGTAATGTAGTGCATACCTGATTGTGTATGTGGACAAGAAACAGACGTATTGCTTAGTTGACGTTTACCGGAATGCAGAGAACACAGGAAAGCCGGACACAAACAATGGCCGACTAGATAGACGACGACCCTAGATAGTGAGCGGGAGTCGTCAATGATAAATCCGGGGGACACAGCATAGGGGGATCAGCTAACCTTTACCGACGGGATGTTCTGTAGGGAAGGCAGAGGGGCGGGCGCGGCGATTTTGAAGATGATGGGCTTGGAGAGTGAAACAGCCGAGCGGGTTATATAGGGCAACAACGCCCTCGCGGATACGCTGTCACGTTTTGTCCTACTCAGGTGCGTCAGAGAGTGATTAAAGGCCGAAGATCGAAGGGAAGTGGAAGGATGTATGGATGCAAGAGTTATGACTAGATCTGGAAGAGACTTTCGGAACAGGACCTACTGATCGCCTCTCACCTGGCCTAAGGCCCCGCTCACTCCGGAGTCGGTCATTTGATGATCACCGCCAACGTGTGCTTCTAAATGGTTTCCATACATGGCCATGTCACTGTTCGTGGGCAAACTGCAATAAAGTCAGATACAGGGAGATCCACCGCCGTCTCATGAGAAGTTGAGTCGATGAAGCCGTCTGTGCATCCCGCATCTGTGCTTCGAGCCTTGAATGGCCCGCTGCCGTCACTCTCACTCTTTTAATTCCGTCGCGCGTAAACTTGCCCCTGCAAATGAACATTAACTTTGTCCTCGATCACAGGGCCATGCTTCTTGTCGTCAATCGATTGAATATAACGATTCAGAGGAAGAACATGCCAATTTACCCGGTTCTCCGTGTCCAGAATCAGTCAGGGAATTATACTCCTTGTTTATCACGTCGGAACTCCTCCCGTCATCCCGGAAACTGTTTTTCGCACTTAAAAGATAGGCACCGAACATGCGTTCCTCGCGTAACCGCCACGCGCGGTTGACGCGAGTCTCGGACAGATTTCGCGAATCACGGTGAGCATGTATGCCTGGTAAACAGAGTGACCCCAGTACGCGCGATTATGTCGCGCCGATGCGCCTTGATAAATACACGAAGGGCTGTGGCGATTCCATCATGGTTGTGGAGATAAGGTGCGGAGACAGGCCGCGGGAGATGCTCTTTCGTTTCAAATACGGCATCACCCTTTCTGTGACCTGAAGTTATTAGAGACGGAAGCAAACCTTGTCACAACTCGCGATCGGCAGACCTTCCCACATTCGGAAGACGAGGGTGTAAAAGAACTTGAGCTGGGTTATTGTTCTGCATTTAGTTATCTTATACATCAACCTATACATTTACAACTTATTAATATTACAACACTGAACTGAACGCAGCCCGGGAAAGCCAACGTTCAGAAGCTGAAACACATGCACAACGTCCAATGCATACAGCCACGATCAAACAGCCAACGCCAGAAGCCAGCAAAACAAAAAAATTGCCGAGCACAAAGAATGTCCCGCCAGATCGTTCATGTGGAAATCTCAGCTAAGTCACTCGCTTGAGTGCTGCTGTCGGCGCTGCTGTCGTCGCAAGCCCCGGTCGTGCTTCTTCTGCGCCCGTCCCTGTCTCCCTTTCCAATTCCCATCCTTTGCTCCAGACCGATCATTTCGTAGCCGCTGTCTTTCTTTTCGGCGCATACGCCTTGACTGACGCGAATTAATAGCGTCTTGGCGGATGGCCTTTGCGCTCTCACGCACCTGGCTCGCCATGTTCATTACCTCCTCTCCCTTGTTTCGCAAACGTTCACCAGCAGCTTTGATAAAGTGCTCGCCCGCCTGGCGTAGACGTTTGGCGTTTTCCTTCGCGCGCATGTTACGGAACGAGAAGCTCGATAAGGCCACGCTTTTTGCATCCTTCATCTCAGCCTTCGCAGAGTTAATCTGGCGCCCGAGAGCATTCAAAAGCTCATCAATCGCCTCGTAAACCACAGTCATATCCCTTCCCGCAGCCTTCTTCAATGCCTTCCTCGTGGATGAAACAACGGCCAGTGAGTTGTGTACGGCACGTAGACTGAGTGATTTAATGCAATTTCCAGAAGGGCAACGCTCGGTAACTTTACCCGCATGTATCTGTGACGATGTGGACTCCTTGCTTCCTTTGCCTATGACGTTAACGGGCCAGACTATCAGGTCTCTAGGGATATATTCGCCTATGCCGAGATTGAGTTTGTTAGCCCATGATTGAGCTTTGGTCCGACCACTAGACGGCTCAGGGATGCTCGTGCTTGGTACTGACGACTCGGTCTTTACCGAAATAACTCCACGAACAATGTCAGTTAGCTTCAGCACGTCCGTCTTCCTGTCAATTGAAGCAAGAGCATTGCGTACAGACGCCTCTGTAATAATAGTCGCTAGAGGCGTATGCATGGGGCGACTAGCGCCAGTGACATCTTCTGACGGGATTAAGGAAGTTGAAAGTGTGCTGGTAAACTTCACTGAGGTAGCTGAGTCACTGGCAGTTGGTCTGCTCTTTATACAGATGAACGTGGGTGACGGTACTGAGCTCCTGTGGACTTGAAAGCCACCAATAGTGATAGCCAATAACGACGCTGCAACAAAAGCAAGTGTGTACCTAGTCACAACATCAATGCATGCGCAGATTAACCAGATTTGAATTAGAGGTCATACCATATATTGCCAAATAGTCGCACTCCCTCATAACCTTTACGTGACTCTTCCCTCACACCCGCCCTACTGAATACAATAGAGAAGGCTTGCGCTAAGGATGCTCGGTCGAGACGGTCTAATGCAGACACGTCCATAATAGCTTTGGGACATTTTGCATCCAATGTAATTATATCCTCTTTCGGAAGATCAAGCCTTTTCAAAGTATAACGAGCAGAGTCAATCGTAACTTGCTCTGAAAAAGCGGGCGAAGCAATTGGTGCCTCGGAACCGAAGTCCAAAGAAGAATGACTGATGAGGGGAAGATAGAAACTGTGTCTTGGAAGAACCGCAGACAAGCGCGCGGGAAGTAAAATGAGTGCTAAGGTTGGTATATCATCCGGTACACTAGTAGACTCCTGCAAAGGGTTAGTAAATGCAAGCATTTATCAGTTCAAATACGAACCATTTCGGAGGACTCTGACGTGCGATCAATAACGCGCACAGAATATTCTTGTTTGTCAACAGCGCCACTAGGGTCGCCAAAACGAAAATATCTGAAATAGTAGTGACGAGTAGAGTCTTCTTCGACGTATGAAGGTGTATCATTGTCCCGTTGCAAAAATAAAATCATAATCTTCTCTGCAGCGTTCCATTTCGATGAAGTCGCCGAACCATACAGGTAAAGATATAGGACACACTGCGCAGAGTCTGAAATTGCAGAAGCTGGAGCAGCTGGAGTCATTGTTTCATCGGCCATCTCCGAGACACTCAGCACTGCCGGAGGCTCAATATCTGCAAACGAGGATGATGTATCTTCTGTAATAGCATTCTCACAATGTTCTTCAACCGAGCTCGGTGGAGCCGATGCGTCTTGAGTGGCATGGTCGGAATCAAGATCCTCCCTAGAACTGAGTGGGTCAGGAAAAGACAGCCTAAGCTTGGATTGAGACTCCGTCAAGGAAGTATGCAAAGAAGATGCTCTTGAGCGGATCCTGGAAGCCCTAAGTGTCCCAACGAGGCTGCTATCAAGTGCATCGTTGACTATCTCGTCCTCGCTAGCTCGTGGGGCAACACTAGCATTAAGAGCCTCGGCGTCTTCAGGAGTCGCATCTGTGGCGTCAACGTCTAATGGACGCGTTTCCTCGCTCGATTGACTAGGCTGCCTGCTAATACCGTCTATGAATCCCTCCCACAAGTCTCCATCGACGCTGCCATCGATCGTATCCGCACGGGAAGACGGGCGGTCTGATATGGCTGTGAGAGGTGGGAAATCACTGTCGTCTTCCGTGCCAGATACTTGAGTCCATTCCGAGTCGTAGTCGGATAGACTGGAAGTCTCCTCATCTTCAAGACGGTCAGTATGTGGTGGCATGTGAGAAGAGAGAGCAGTGTGACTCGGTTTGCATTCGCTGCGGTGTGATCGTGCAAGAAGGGAAAGGGCATATATCATCAGTTTGTCATATAAGGCAATCCTGACAAAGCAAAGTACAGCAATCACGTAAATATGTCTTAAACGCGCAACTTTGCGCGTCTCAGTGGAAGTAGTGCATCAGTACATTTCCTGCCGTGTGCTAGTGATGCCTCGCGATATTATAAGCCACCTTCCTGAGGATGTTATCCAACTAATTGCTGTCTATTCCGACATAGCAGATGTGTTCGCTCTGAAACAGGCAAGTCTCTAGCCGATTGTAGATCTGCTGTAATATGTTCATAATACGTATCAATACGTGTCTAGACGTGTCGCAGTCTCAACGGACTCACAGAGTCAGACTATCTCTGGCATCGGCTCTTTCCTCGTGAAGAGCTTCCTCTCGATCTGCCTCCCTTTGTGGATTTCAGAAAAATCAGTGCATACGAGCTTCGTGCCTCCGCTCTCCGGGCCCTCAAGTTGCGTAACAATTGGTCCTGGAAACATCCAAGAGTGCGCGAGATTAATATCGTCGATCTGAATACATCACCTTACGATGGCGGCCTCGACGAGCTGAAACTACTGAATGGCGGGTCTATTCTCCTGGTCATCCGCCGCGATCGGCATTCTCAAAGGCCAATCATGTTCGTCTCCGTCTTTAACCTGATAAATGCCAGGAGACCACAACTGGCCGCACAACTTTCGTTGTCCGCATCTATGAAGGACTTCGATGCGTGTCTAGATCCTGAGGGGACGAGGCTTATACTTGCCGCTTCAGTTCATAAAGTCGATGCCGAGTGAGCAATTTATTATCATATGTCCATTTCGGACGTAGTTCACGCAAGGCCGGTAGAGCGCTTGAGGTATATTCCATACCCCTGCCTCTTGATACACCATCAGTGTGTACTGGGGCCCATGAGTTGGCTTATAGCTTCGAACTTATCGACGGGGGTCTCTTCCATAAAGTTTCAATACATGGAGACTTCCTCGCGGGTTCCTTTATTGATCAGCCTTTCGTGGCAGGCGTCCAATCTTCGCATGTTCTGGTCGTCAATTGGAAGACTCGCCAACAGATTACCATAACTCCCCCAGCTATTTCTGTAAGAATACCTTTCGTTCTGAACATTCCAAACCTTCTCTAATAACGAATCGGAAAAAACTATGTCCATAGAGTTTCGACCAGTTGGATATTAAGGTACTTCCGCCTTATCTCGGAATTGTTGCGGCATCCGTGGACAACTTTGACAACGCACAAGTAACCCTAGTTCCGCTGTCCGTTATTGCGTATGGCAGCGAGCTTGAAGAGCCGGAAAAGAGTGAAGCGAAGCAACGGACACTCCCACAGTTCCCGCACGCGATTGCACCGATAATGGACTTCTACGATATTGTTATATCGGATAACACGGGCTATGGTCCTTATGTGCCACCAACTTCCCTCTCGCTTATAGTCTTCCCTACGCTATCGCGGCTTGACGTACGACAGAGCAAAAAAGCACTTCACCTGCGGTTTTCTATTAGCCATGTGCCTGGTCCGATTTCCACTAATCCCGAAGCGGATGCGCCCTCCGAGCCCTCCGAGGAAGTTCCTTGTACGTCGATACAGTTGGAAAAGTCCGTGCCATTCGAGATCCCTGTCGGGTCATACCCGGAGTATCCGCAAGTCGGTGCAACTGGCCGACGGGGTGTTTGGCTCGAACAGTCCTTGAAATCGGATTACGTGCAGCTGTTACGTCTTGACTACGATCCTACTACGAATCAGGCACCTTCGGTAAGTGTACTGCTCCCGCCGCAACCGCAGTTTCCCTTCAAGTTGAGCTCGTGTCGTGCCCTTGCATTTGATGAATCGACAGGAAGACTATGCGTGGGACTTTATAATGGTTCTGTATACATTTTGGACTATGTTTAAGTATCTATTGTCGATTTGTCTTATTCAATAAGTCTCTCGGACTATTTTTTAGCACTTGATCCCGCGTTCCTGCTACCAGACTGCTCAGACTGTAGCATTCTTGTCGATACACGCTATATGCATAGTTCTCGGGTCTCCAATAAATACATGGTTCTCGTTTGCGTATAACAGAGTTAAACGCACCAAGTACAAAACAGACATCTTTCATGTTATGTACAAATTGAGTCTCCTGCTTTTGAGCTTATCTTAAATTGAAGAATAAATTCAATTCACCATTATCCATGTTTTCCTCCGCTCTTGCTAGTTAAATCAAACACATTAGGAGTACTATTTATCGTTGGACGGGATTTATCCACCGGTAATACTTGCCACTGTTTGTACAACATAATAAACATTTAAATGTCAAAACCTAGAACTTAGAAAGGCAACAGAAACTTGAAGGGGCATGCTGTTGAAGTTGCTGCATGATGGAGACAGAAGTCATTTACTATCTATCTATGATACATTCGAGTACTACACATTAATACAGAGCTATGCCTAAATACAATGCTGACAAGTCGTATCTTTCATATGTCCGAATTCCCTTGCTTGACATGGCGGACATCAGCAGCACTCTCTATGTCGTTCGAGGGTTGCAAGGCAAATAAGTTTGTACAAAGTACAAAGTACACAGAGATCTTGTCATTCCACAATACGTAGAAAACTTTGCAAGATAGACAGACAAACAAGCGGGCAAGAAAGTATTAATATTAAACCACATACAAAGGAATGAAGGGGAATCGGGGGAAGAAGAAAGAAAGAACGGAAACGGAAACGGAAAAGAAAAAAAAAGTCTGACGTGCGTTACGAACGGAGTCCAAGAATATGTGTATTGAAGTCCAGAAGCTGGGATGAAGGGAAGAAGGGATGAGGGGCAAATGGGCAATAATAGGGATATGTAATAATAAGAAATGGTATGGTGCAAGAAAATAAGACACGGGAAATAATTTTGCTCGTCCAGGAGTCATCCATAAACGAAAAGCAAACTATAATCCGAACAGCATCCCACACACCAACCCCACACCCACAACCAACATTACCTCCTCAACAATCGGTCCGCGTCCAAAAAAGAGGGAAAACCCCGAACTACTCTGTCCAGGCGGTACACCCAACGCGATCGAACTCGTCGGTACATGTTCAACACTCGTCAACACCGCCCCACTCTTATCGGTCACAATCAACGTAACCAACGTCGGAGGTGGGGTAATCACCGGTAACGCACTCGTATTAATATTCACCGGATCTCCCATAAGTATCGCACTATAATTGTCGTCACCTAATCCTGAAGTGACGATAGCACCGACTGATGCAGGGATGGAGGTGTTGAAGATGTATGGTGCGGTTGTGGCCGAAGGTGTAGAGAGGAGAGAGTTGGGGAGTGTTGTGGCGATTGTTAAGTGGAAGGAAGAGAAGAATGAGGAGATTTGTTGGGGTGTTTGGGTTATGGCGGTTGTGTTGGTGAGAGGGTAGAAGCCTATCATGGGTACTTCTTTGCCGTCAATGCCATAACTGAAGATTGAATATACAGTCCGTAAGAAGGGTGTACCCAATTGCCAGTCAATCCCGTCACCGGAGTTTTGGACTGCTCGAGGCCATGCGAGACAAGACGTCGGATTACCGGAGACGGGCCCGATGAGATAATCCGTAGGTTGTAAGGTAAGATTACCTTGCCTGTCAAGGAAAAATGAAAACAAAACTTAATGGTTGATGATGTGTTCACCGAAGTGATTAACTTACCCGAAATTGAACGAGAGCGTTATCTGAGTGTCACAGGGGACAGCCCACTGTCCGACTAAATGGCACTATCAGAACGGATCGTTTGCAGATTGTACACTGGCACTTACCCGTAGCATCTACTAAACGAGCTTCGCCAAACGCTTCAAATATGCGAGAAACATCCTGGTACGGTCCGAATATGCCATTTGTCCCACTGATCAACTTATGAGCCGAGGTTATTCATCAATAACATATTAAGGTGACGTACGCATCAATCAAAGCAAGGGACTGTTCGGTAATATTTGGATATGTTGGTTGGGTGTTCAGGTTCGTCCCATTAATCTTCAAGAGCCAGGTGAGAAATTCCCACAGCATGTTTATAGCAGAATACAACATACCCCGACCTCTGGTAAACGTACGACCCACTGGAGATAGCTGGAGGTATTGGTTTCGCTATTGAAGGGAGAAAACGGCAGGACTTTGTGCCACTCGATAGCGCTAAGATTATGCACGACATTAACGTCAATGGCACCTAATTTGAAGTCGTTTCAGGAAGAAATGCTAAGAATTGTACGAAGCAACCGTACCCAGAGCAATCGTTCCACCATCGTCTCGAGTAAGGCTAAGACCGAACAAAGGATAATCCAGTGCACCTTGTTGAGCGAGACTGTTTACAAATGGGGTTGCTTAAAACGAGTCAGGGAAAACACCCATTACACCAATGACAGGCACAGCATTAGACACACCATTTACTGCTGTGGACGAGAACGATGAAAGGCGCGGAAAACCCATGCCGAGCACACCGCTGATGTCGCTATCCAGCTTCACATTGGTCGAATTGACAAGTCCTGATAGTTGATTTAAGATAAGTAATTAGAGAATAAAATGCGATATTTCGCATGAACTTACCGAACACTTGATTAACGTTACTGAGGTTTCCCAGCTGAACAGTTTCTGTGGCCAAGAATCCTGACGAACCTGAGGGTAACATCCATTAAATGGGGTATACCAAAAATTGCAAATAGAACAACAGACTTGATCCATCGGCGAAAGACAGACTGAACGCGCTCTGGTTGCCGTTCACAGCGCCAAAGGAGGGGCTATGATATAAGAGAGGATAGCTTGGTGAAGACTTGCATACGTCTGAGCCTGAACATGTGGACGCCAGTAGCCAGAAATCGGAGGAGGCCGTATCTACGGCTACGCGAAAGCTGATATTGCCAGCTTGTATAATCGTGTAATAGGAACTAAGAGAAAGGTGAAAGGGAATTAAAAACGCGTCATTTGAAGACCAGCCTCTCGATAACGAACCTGCGATCGTCACTTAGAGTAAGCCCAAGGACAGTTGACGACGCGTTTGCTGGATTGAAGTCTCGCCGCTTCAATCCTGACGGGGCTGATAGTCTCTTCAGGAGCTCAGTTGGCGGCGCCTCTGCGGATCGAATACCGGGTGCCGAAGACGAAGCATAATATGCGACGACAGTATCGAGCAAAAAGAACAAAAGGATAAGTGGAAGAGAGGCGAGCATTACGATTCCATACGGAGCTAGGGCTGAGGACTCAGATACAGACAAGTAGGTAGTCGGTGTATGAGAGCAAGCTAGAGCATCGGAGTTGGAGGGCTTGAGCAGTGCAGAAGAGCGGGCGCCGAAATGAGAAAGGACAGTTTAGCCCACGCGTGCGGCAATCCGTTGCTGTCGCGTCACGTGGCTTGTGATCGACGCTGGGCCTGACACGCAACTCGTTTCAACTGAACTGACACGTTAGCGCGTCTCGCTGCCGCAAGTCACACTCTCTTCGGTCTTTCTCCTCTGGTTCCTCCGTTTGCTAATGCCTCAGTATCTCTTCTCTCTTTGTTTGTTACTATTATGCATAACGTATTGCGTTGCTGCGGATTACTACAAAATACTCGGAGGTCAGCTGTTGCTTACACATGTGCTTGTTGTGTTATATTTTAAGCTTACTTTCTTCTCGTACACACACACCTATTGCATCCAGTCCACCGGGAAGCTTCCGACGCGGATATCAGGAAGGCTTACAAGAAACTCAGCAAAAAGTACCATCCGGACAAGAACAAAGATGAAGATGCTAAGGAGAAATTCGTGGAAATTTCTTATGGTTCGTCATGCTCGTAGTGGTCTGTATGCCGTACTTACACGAGTTTTTGTAAAGCCTATGAAGTTTTGTCGGATGAAACAGTATGTTCATTAAATATTGAAGTTATACGTTTGCTAATGTCCACCTGTGTAGAAACGCCAAATATACGACCGACATGGAGAGGTGTGGAATTTAAAATTCGTCAAGTTGCGACAATCGTGCTCAAAATTCGAAAAAATTAAATACAGGAAGGATTAAAGGCACACGAAGGCGGCCAGCACCACGCAAACCCCTTCGACATATTCGCGAATTTCTTCGGCGGTCGTGCGTCTCGCCAAATACCATGCTACAACGAGCAAGGCTAATTTGATGTTATTTATATTCTTTAGACCCACACCATGACCAAGTCCGCAAGGGACCGACGTCCTTGACGGAGTTCGAAGTATCACTGGCCGACATGTACGTACTTCGTTGATCTGACAGGCTTCTTGAGGTTCTAACTTCTGATCCTTTCTTCAGGTACACGGGTGCAAGCATAGACGTTCGTACCTTTAATTATTAAACTCCACATCGACCAGAAAAAGTACATATTTACTAACTTTCATATAATTTATATACGCATACATATAAATCCAGTTCATGATCAAGAAGAAAATCCTCTGCGACCACTGTCGCGGCTCAGGCGCCGCCTCCGACTCCGACATCCACACCTGTCCCTCCTGCGGCGGTTCCGGCATCAAAATAGTCCGACAACAAATTTGGCCAGGTATGTTCGCGCAATCTCAAGCATCTTGTACAGAATGTTCTGGCCGAGGCCGAATCATCGCTCGCAAATGTCCACACTGCGGGGGGTCGAAGATCGTTGACCATACGCAACATTATACACTCGAAATTGCTAAGGGGATGCCGGAAGGGTATGAAGTAGTGTTTGAGGGAGAGGGAGATGAGAATCCGGATTGGGAGCCTGGGGATGTGGTGTTGAGGGTGAGGAGTAAGAGGGAGAAGGGAGGGTGGAGAAGAAAGGAGAGTAGTTTGTATTGGAGTCAGGTTATGGGTGTTGATGAGGTAATGTCACTTTTTCTCTCCACTCCCATGTTCGCGTTGTCTCATTAAAGCTTTGATTCACTTCGCCGCGTTGGTCATGTACTTCCAGGCCCTACTCGGCTTCGAACGTAACCTAACCCACCTAGACGGACACATCGTCACTCTCAAACGACAAGGCGTAACCCAACCAGGTTTCGTACAAACCATCAAAGGAGAGGGTATGCCAGTGTTCCAGGAGAATAAATTTGGCGACCTCTTTGTGGAGTATACGGTTGTCTTGCCTACTGAGATTTCGGCGGACTTGCGAAAAAGTGAGCCGCTCCCCCCTTCTCGATTTCGAACTCTGATAGAATACTGATTGGCTTTGTCCCGTTGATAGAATTGACAGAAGCGTTCCACCCACATGGACGTGGAAAGGATGAGTTATAGCATTCTCAACACTAGTAATGGTGTCGAAGTGTTGATAGAGCGTATGGACTTGCATGCGTTTTGTTTAGAGTGTACAGACTATAGTGGAATAATAGACTTCCTTTCAGCTTTTTCATTCGTCAACTCCCTGGTTTCGCGATTTATTTATTTATTTTTAGACTACAGATTCGCCACAACCACCAGTTCGTGATAGGCGGTACGATGCCGGGTCAAGGTATGAATTGGTATGCCAATTACAATCACAATCACAATTGCTGTCCAGAACGAATTCTAACACCCAACAGAGCATGTTTTTTAAGGGGAAAAAAGGTCTAGACGGGTCTTGATGAAAGGTTATTTTAAAGTCGCATTGCACTCACGTTTACGCTGCACATTGGCATTTTGGAAATGTCTGTCAGAGTTGAATGCGGCACAGAGAAGTATGGTATTATCCCTGGGAGTAAGGGATTGTGTCTACTGCTAGCTATTCACTTCATTTAACCCCCTTGTCTAGGAGGAACTTAATTTTGATATTGTCCCTAACAGCTTCTTCTCCCTCTCCCGGAAGTTTAAAATGTGCAGGCTTAATTTTGTTATTTTCCTTCTGAGACTCCTTGATAATGTAATCTTGGAAACCTCTATTGAGATCCATGACAGGTCTCCTTGTGGAGACAAAAAAGAAGGCACAGGGTAGAGAGAAACCTTTGCGGCGATGTAGATAGTTTATGGCCACAGCTGGGGACTGAGATCCACCAGCATGACAATGGACGAGAACCATGTTACTTCCTGTTGTCCCCTCATCGATAAATTGACAAGCTTCGTCAAGTATGTCCTCGATCTTTGCTTCCGCCTCATCCTCTAATTCAATTTTCTTTACAGTGATTTCGGGAGACAAGTCCTCTTCGGGACCCACCCCAATAGACAACACATGTGTAATATGGTTTTCAAGGAGGAAGGGTTTGCAGGCGGCTGGACGTGAACCAACGAAGATTCCATACACAATATAATCGATGTCAATAAGAGGGTTTAAGGAAAGGAAATGGTTAGGGCATCTGTAGAGCTTTTCATGGTGATGTGGATGTACCCTTTGTTCTGTGCTCTTTCACTCTTGACTTGACATGGCTGTAATTGCTGTTAGTAGTTACCAGTACATTGCAAAAAAGGCTAAGCTCTTGTTTGGTCATGTATGCCAGTAAATTATATAAAATTTGTGAATTATATACCTGTACATGTACCCCACTTCCAAAATGACATGTAACTACAAGATACTGCAAGAACTACAAGACTTATACAACATATATTTAATAAATAGTAAGATATGTCTTGTAGATAACTAAAAGTGTATGTATTCCTCCTCCAATATGACAATACAGTAATATTCTTCTAGATTTCTGTAATAGCTGGTAGATTCTTGTATGAACTTATAGGTATAATATAGTACTGTAAGGCTAGCTCATATAATAAGCACCTTGTCACACCATTTATATATTTAAAATATAATATATTAAATAGCTAATATACATGTAATGCTATCTACAATTGGCACTGGTAGTAGGAGGAAGGTGGGTTGACGAATGCGAGTGAGGATGCGGATGGGCGTCAGAAAGAGTGTGAACGTGAGATGACTCCAACTCCATGTTGACGTCAATCGGATTTGGTGCGTTGTGCTGCTGCTGTTGCTGCTAGTTGTTTTTGTTGTTATTCGTTGTATTCGTTGATGAGAATGATGAAGTCGGCCAATTTGAGGTTACAGCGTTCGCGTCAATAACAATGGCGATGCTAATAAGCAGAGCAAGTAGTGTAGCGATTGCAGGCGTGAGTCCATGACGTTTGTTTAATGTGTCAAACAATGCGAGATGCCAGGGATGCAGGGTTGACGAGAAGAGAGTAGATGAGAGACGAAATTGCCAAATTGCCAAGTGACTAACAAACAAGTGGGCCCAATGAGCGATGATGGGCGTCGGATTAAGAACGGGTGAGAGTGCAAGAAAGACAAAATGGTCAGTGGCAATTCAGTTGACAACGAAGGGAAACACTCGGTGGTGGTAGATGTACAAAAAAAGAGACGCCCAGCAAGGCAAAGTTATGGTTAGACGAACGAAGGTAGGCAAGCAGGGCAGGGGTGAAGGGACGCAGGAAGAGAGAAAAAGAAGGAAGCACTGGCACCACAAGCACAGGACGTGCTCAGCACAGAGGAATGTAAATGCGTGCAGTGTGAGCCTATCATGAGTGATGTCAAACATTGAACGAGTGGGGAAGGAGAATGTGTACAGAGTAAGAGAGGGTGGCATAATGGGAGTAGACATACATGTACATTGTCGCAAGTGTGTGCTCGTCAATTACAGTATTGCTTGTGCTGCACAGCAGAAAGGAGTATGCAAATACATGGAGTTATTGAAGAAGTCGTTCAGCATTGATCAATAATGTAGATGCACGAATGCAAATGCAAAAAGGAAGGCAAACGTAAAAAAAGGACAACAAGAGGAGGTGATGCAAGAGACAGAGCAAGGAGTGAGAGGGACAGAAGGCAGACAAAAAGTTGGGAGGAGAAGGATGAGCAACTATTGTGCAGATTATCATGAAGTAGACTGGCTGCTTATGCTTTACGTTGAAGGACAGTGTAATCAGCTGGGTGGCATCATTGCAGGATCTGAGGCCCAGCGCAGGCATCGCAGCAGCGGGTTGGAGAGACGAGTGCAGTGATGTTTATTGCCTATGTTGTTGCAGGCAGAGTGCCTGCTGGTAGGACGCTTGCAAGCGGAGGACTTGACTAGAGACTCAGAGAACAGAAGCAACAACATAGTGTTGGGGGCAGAGGGTTGGGGAGATGGTGAAGGTAGGAGGTAAAGGAGTGACGAAGAGAAATGCATCATTATATGCTCTCGATTCTCAGCTTTGATTACATAAGCAAAGGGCGAAGGAAGAGCGTGTGCTCAAATAATTTATACACATTGAATATTTGGTTATAGATACATTGTATCTATTATAAAATATATTATAAATACAGTTAGTTCTATTGTAATAATATAACACAATAATAAATTAAGGCTACAAATTCTTTACTAATTCCTTACATGTTCAGCCTTCAGGACATCTGTTGCAAAAGTTTGGCACTGGCAGTAAGGCTAATTAGAGAGTCGCATTCGTAGCATATGTTAGATAAGGATCGGCACAATCACAGATTACCTAGAAGAACCTCATACAGACATGATTGAGCTTTAAGCACAGACTCTACTCAGACTTTTTGTATAGCTGACTTGACTTGTTTTCCTTTTATTCGAATTGCATTCTATAAATTATTATTACTACTTAAGTATAAGTCTCTGTATTCCTTTCTTTGAATTACAATGTGTATATTATAAGTGCCATAGTATTGTAATACAATGATAATCCATGTAGTGAATTTATATGAGACAAACAGTATTATTCCTCAAGTGTAAGGTACTGCATTTATTTTGTTTAGAATGTAATTCATATGATACACTGATTGAAACTATGTTTCACATATCTAATAAATTTATATGTATTATAATGCACTAACAACAGCTGTGTTTAGTTGACATGACACAATTATACTTGTATATTACTGACATTAACTGGCAAGTCTTGTATTTTCAATGTATTATTAAACAATACTAATAATTGTCTGACAGAGACATTACAAATCTTGTACTACATTATACTGTCTACAAGTTCATACATGTATTTAGCCTTTTTTGCGATGTACCTATGTGGTGGATGCAACTGGTCAGCATATTATGTAAGTGGCGAAGAGCAAAGGAATACGTACAATGAGAGGGCAACATTGCTTGTATCCGTTCTGACGTCTAGTCCGATTTTTCGCATTAATTTGTAATTTCCAGTTCGATGTAAACACCTTGCCAGAACACGAGTTGCTGTGACAATCATGATTTATAACTGTAGTCCAAACCGTCTCGTTACTAAACAAAGCATGTGTCTCAAGGAAGACAGAGTTTTATTGGAAGATTATTTTCAAACCCTCTGCACACACGTTTATACCACACACTGGCCGTATTCATGGGTATGTATACATAATCAGACGTAGGCGCTGTAAGTATCCTGCGTCTAGGCTTGTATCAATTAGTAAACTTATTCATTTCCATTCCAGATTTCCAACCCTTGTGTCTTTTGTGGACGCCACTCAACATATTACTTACCGGTAATTTCTCAACTATAAAAGTTGGGATGGTAATAGCCCTACACTATAGCTGAGCGACTTGAGATATACTAGAAATTATTACGTTTTATAATTCAGAACTGAATACAAAATGGAGAACACATAATTCTTTCGAGTATAAAAGAGTGTCTATTCTTTATCTGTCAATTCGAACTTAATCTTGATATTGTCCTTGCTGACTTCTTCGGGAGGTTCAAGCGAAATGCCTATTTCTTGTTCTAATCTCTTTATGTTTGTCTTTAAATAATCTTTGTCCAGCCCGTATGCGACTGCTATGGGTTTATGATCACCTGGAAGTCTGAAATGTTCAGGCTTTATATTGATGTTGTCCTTTTTGCACACCTCATATATGTACTTTTTGAAGCCTGCATCGGGACTAATTCCTGGTCTTCTTTTAGCAACAAAAAAGTAAGAACAGGGCATTGAGAATCCCTTGCGACGATATAAATAATTTATAACTACTGCAGGGGATCGAGATGATCCAAGGAAACAGTGAACTAGAACCATGTTATTTCCCTTGGTTCCTTCGTCGATAAACTGACAAGCTTCGTCGAGGATGTCCTCGAACTTTACTCTGTCATTGTCTTCGAGCACGATTTTCTTTACGGTGATCTCGGGAGGTAAGTCGTCTTCAGTATGCTCCCCAAGAGATAGGACGTGTGTAATGTGGTTTTGTAGCAGGAAGTGTTTGCATGTGGCATTGTGCGAGCCAACAAATATTCCATACGCAATATAATTGATAGCATAATCGGGGATCCTTTCGTGTCTGGGGCATCGGTAATGGGTTTCCTTGTGGTGGTGGTGTACTTTTCGGTCTGTGGTGCTGTCTCGTATAGACATGGCTGGGCTTGCTGCTACTTGTGAACAATGATTGCCAGTGGTCAATATACCGCGTAAGTAGCAAGAAGTTGGAGAATACTTAGGCCGGGAGGCTGACCTTGACTTGTTCTTTTTTATCAAATGTAGTTCTAGTAAGTAGTCCCTAAGAACCTGTTCAATTGCTCGGCTTGTCTTACTGATATAGATGCTGATAGAGAAGGTACAATGCAAACAATCATTCAATTAAGTGCATTCACTTTAAGCAATCTAGTACTTCCTTCTATATTACATACAGGCAAAGTAGATAGATGAGGAATATGAAGAATTGATCAAACTATACTAGAATTTGTACAATGAATAGTAGATAACGAAATCAATCATAATTAGTCTATGTTTGATCAAAACTGTAGCACATGTATTAATACAAAGTATATGAATTAGTATGAAAGGGTTTGTAAAATCAGCAAACATAAAAAAGGGGTACTACTACTATCAAAGCAAAGTGATTTCCCAAGATTTTCATTAGTATAAATTAGTTTCAAATCAGTAAAGTATTATAAAAAAGGACAAGTGTTATCAATGCAAAGTAATCTACCAAGATCTTCCAAGATTTGCATTAGTACAAAAGGATATATAAATTAGCAAAGTGATTTCCCAAGATTTTCATTAGTATAAATCAGTTTCAAATCAGTAAAGTATTACAAAAAAGGACAAGTGTTATTACTGCCCTTTTCATAAGTATTGTCACACCTGTGTTTCACATGCTCTAACACATTTGAACCAAAACAGTAAAAACTCAAGTAAATAGCAAATTTCTCTGTCAATTCTGTATGTTTCATGCTCAATTAGTACTTAAAAAAAAGTGCTAGATTGCAAATGTAGATTTATGTAGAAATATTTGCAATTTGTTGCTTGTGTGTGTCAGAACAGAACAAACAACTTTACAAGGCCTTACTCTAAAGAGTTGTCCAGACTGATTACAAAATTATTCCTCCTCACACAAGTCATAATAAATTTTTATTCTAGTCTATAAATCAAGTATATATACATGGAACTGCTCTGGCAAAGTTTTGTGTTATTTTGTACAGTATTTGTGTAGGAAACATTAGGCAATCTTGTCAACCCTTATTCTAGCAGGTCATCTAGACTGTTCATAAAATTATTCCTCTTCATACAAGCTATTATATTTTTCCTTCTTAGTCTGTAAATTAGGTCTACATGTCTTACAATACTCTGGCAAGTTTTCAATCTGTTCTGTATAGCATTTGTGTAACAATACAAGTGTCTTTTATCTCTACAGTATTCTCAGAACTCCTTTCTGGTGCTATAACTGTCCTAGGACTGTCATTCAAAAGAAACAAATTCCAAACATGCTTGTATCTGAAGAAAACATTATTGTTAAGAAAGGGGAAGAGAGGTTATGTGAGAGGCTTAGAGGGATCACACAAAGAGGAGGGATAGTGGACTCAGCTCACTCTCTTGCAGCTTGCTTCATTGTCTGTTGATTAGTTAGTCTATATATACTATGTAGGTATGTCTCAGATGTAGAATGTATGATGGAAGGTATTCCATCATTGTTTGTCATTGCCTGTAATGTAGTTTATATCATCTGAGACATACTCTTGTGTAGTCTTGTCTTAACACTCCCCTTCAAACTCTTACTAGGTCTAGTAGACTTGTAAAATGTTTGCTTGTAGTATGTATAGATAGTTTAATCATTATAACTACATTGTACAATTGTTCGTTTGTGTAACACGTTTATAACTTGATGTAGTTAATAATAATATTATTAGTATTATAGTAATGCATTGTCTGTTCTGTGTACTGTCTGTTCTGAATGTCATCCACTTTGTGTTAAGTTTGTCTAATGTTATATTAATTAAGTATATTTAATTAGTTTGTTTGTTCATAATATACTATTGAATAACAGTATTGTTATCACAATAGATCATTTGTAAATGTTATTAAATAATTTGTAAATGCTTCAGAGACCTGCAGAATCTTGTCAGCATGTGTAGGTATGTATATACACATATTTAAATCATAAATGCAATTGCTTGTTTTGTTTTATTGTTTGTTATTCAGTCATATTGTTTGTTATTAAGTTTGTTTGAGTACTCTAGTAATTTCCTTTTTACTTTGCTGTGAAACTAATGAATCATACTAGTAAAATGTATATTTGATGTTGTAATAATATCCTTCTTTAATCATTACTGTCTGTGTTTGTCTACATTTGTATATGTGTTAAGCATTCAGTAATAGCTGATTTATGTCTTCAGATTGAAGCTTCACATTGATTGTATATTGTAATATTAATAATAATATTTGTTTTTGTCAGATTGCTTCATTCTGAGATCAATAAGGTTTTATACTAATGTATATTTGTGTCAGCAACAGTGTAGAGGGGACCTGAAGGCTTAGCAAGGGGACCCAGGCTACAACTATCCTACACAACAGAAATACAGAATGTAAGCACTAGAATGTAGTCAGAACTCACAGAACAGGCAGAGAGAGAGAGTGAGACAAGAGTAGAGTATATAGAGTGAGCCTAAGAGTACAGGACTATCTAGAGTAGACAAGATCAAGACTACAGGACCAGTCTGATCTTGTATGCCTATATATACTAAACTACACAAGAGTACTCAGGGAGTATGAGCTACTAAGAATGATAAGCTATAAAGAATGAAAGAAAGGAATGTTAAAGATAAAGGTACAAAGAATGAAGGGATAGACAAAGGGTAAGAGACTATAGAATAAACAGAGAATGAAGGGGTAGTCAAAGGAATGGAATGATAAAGTAAGGAAGGGTAGTAGTAAGAGTCAGTACACATATAGTTTATAGACAGTACTCCTGAGGGACAGAAGTCCTGAGTTCTAGTACAGAAGGGTGCAGAATCCTTGGAACTGAAGGTAAGGGAGTAGAGAACTATAACATTACCCTCCCTCTAAAACCAATTGTCCTGATTAGTGAACATAGGGCTCAGTCAGTAGCTCAGACATAGGTTAGAATAGTAGGGCTTGGAAATCTGTAAGGCTGAGTTTGTACAGAGTACTAGGATGAAGCTGATAGAAATCTCAAATTGTCTTAGGAGTATAAGTAAAGTTCTCAGCAGGTTCCCAAGTACATTCCTCAACTAGGTATCCCTTCTAGTAGATAAGGAACTTGAGCTTTCTGTATACTAGCTTAGTATCTACTACATACTCTACTTTGTATTCTGGTTTAGAACTAATAAGTTCTGGTAGAGGCAGTAGGGGTCTTTGTTGTAAAGGAAAACTAGGATCATAGTACTGAGACAGTAGAACCTTATTAAACACTAGGTGTATACACTTCTATGTTGCTAGAAGTTGGAGTTTGTAGACAGAGGTGCTAACCTTCTTTTCAATGACAAAGGGTCTAAAGTGCTTGTTGTCCAACTTCTTTATTGAGTGATCTAAGGTCAGATTAGTAGCTTCTAGTATAACCTTGTTACTAGGCTGGTAATCCTTAGCTACAGACCTCTTCCAATCATAGTTCTACTTTATAACCTGTACTACCTTTTCTAAAAGAGCTCATACATTCTCTCTGGTCCTGTGTATCTGTTCTACAAAGTCTGTTGTAGATTCAGAACTACTGTTCCAGTTCAGAACTGTCCTCTAGTACAGATGTCTGTTATGATTGAGGAAGAATAGGGACTGTCCTGTTGTAGAGTGTTACTAGTTATTGTGTACAAATTCTGTCAGAGCTAACTATTCAGACTAATCTGATTACTAATGATTGATGAACATCTAGAGGTAGAGCTCAATCTTCTGATTGACTCACTCAGTTTGACTGTCAGTCTACAGGTGATAAGTAGTAGAAGGGTTCCCTTGAATTCTGAGAAGCACATACAAGTCCTACATGAATTTTGACTCAAATTACAGTCTACAATTGTGAATGAGCTTCTGAGAGAGTCTGTATAACTAGAAGACATAATCCTAATAGATGTGTACTATACTTTCAGAAGTAAGTTCTGTTCAGGTTGGAACTGTATAGACTTGTTTAGAGAATCAGTCAACAATTATACAGATAGTATTGTAACTCTAAGACTTGGGTAGCTTACTAATCAGGTCTACTAAGACTTCTTTCTAAGAGTGATCTAGGATCCAATACAGATGTAAGGGAGTCTAAACCCTTGTCTGGTAGGCCTTAGTCTGTTAACACATATTATAACTAGTTACATACTTTAGGATTTCCCTCTACATTCCTGACTACTAGTAGTTCCAAGTAATGAGTTCCTACATTTTGTGTTAGCTCAGATGTTCTACAGTCAGATTGTTGTGATGAGCTTGAACAATGTTCTCCTACAGCTTCTAATCCTTTAGAATGTACAGTTGGCCTTCCTAGTAAACCTGTCTATCCTTATCCTCCTCCTAATCCCTAGCCTACTTCTCTAGCTACTTTACTATAACCTAGTCCTGTGTGTGTCTCAGAGCTTACTGTATACAGGTAACAAAGTTAACATTCTTAGATTTGAGTTGGATCTCTTAGATTGTCTTAGACACAAAACAGGAATTGTCTAGGAGAACAAGATTTTCATTATCATTCTCCCTCCTTTCATAACCTACTTGTCTTAAGAGTAAATCAGCTTTTATCATTTACATTCTGGGTTTGTAGGTTAGTACAAAGTCATAGTCCTACAGTTTTAACATTCAGTAGGCTTAATAGTAGTTGAGCTTCTGAGGCACTTAGAAGTACTAGAGATTAAGGTGATCACTCTAAATCTCAAACTTCTGTATAGTACTAAGAAGATATTAACACTACTCCTCTAAGGAACAGACAATTGTAAGGAGTTCCTTATTATAGATAGGGTAGTTCTGTTCTGTTACAGAGAGGGATTCTAATTAGAACACTATTAGACACTACTTTCTGTTAATGAACTAGGACA